AAATACATACATAGACACACACACACATTTATGTATGTATAGGTATGCGTGTGTATATATTAAGAATGCATGTATATATAATATTCTACTATCTCAAACATCTGTTTAACAGAAGGGAATTATAGAAATGAGAGCAATAGAAAGCTTAAATATGTATTCTAAAATAGCTGAACAGCTAAGTATTAACAGAATAATAAAACTGGAGAAGGAAATTGTTAAAAGCTTGGCAGAATAATGCCTTCAATTAAGGACAAGAGACTAGGCTAGCATTCTTAGGAGCAGTAAGATATTTCTGATATTTTATATTATTAATCAGTGTCACTGTTCAAGGGATACTATAGTTTTTAAATTACGTAAATATGATCTTGTTACCTGTGCTTTTGTACAAGATGAAATTTGAAACTTACTATCCTCTATTACTGAATAAAGAGACTTGGCTGATTTCCCTCTAATAAAGTTAATGATTATTGCTACTTGCTGTGATGTCCATTGGGCAAAGGTCATAAGTCACTGTTGCAATCTGGCAAGAAGTTAAAAACAGCATATCAAAGATTTTCAGAGACATGGTAATGGGAAAGTGGTCACTTTCAGGTCGACTAACATTTGCAAGCCTAGATACAGGGGATTAAATTCTGAGAGATCCCAACATAAGCTAACAAAGAGAGCTTGGAATTAGCCCAGCAGCTATATTCAGCTGGATAATATAATCATCATTAATAGACTGATTTAAAATTACCACATAGTTTCATGAAAGTCTGGCCAAAGCCCTCTCTATCACCGTATACACCTTTAAACTGGTGGCATAGAATGAGGGATGTTGTCTATGGAGATACTTAGTCATCCAGGTCGTGGTTGTCCCAAAGGTGCTTTTTCAAGAGGCAACTGGATTTTCCGGTTTTTCTTTGAAGATGTTTCGCTTCTCATCCAAGAAGTTTGAGAAGCGAAATGTCTTCAAAGAAAAATCAGAAAGTCCAATTGCCTTCTGACAAAGCACCTTTGGGATAATGAGGGATGTTGTTACAAAAGATAAAGGCTGGCAATGAAATTTAGCAAAGAATGTTTTATTGTTTGCTCTGATTCTCTTGCATTGAAACTGCCAACCAGTATTAAATATATTGTCTATAAGTAGCCGTTTAATAACCTCTCTCATTCAGCAACTGTTACGATGGTGCTGAACAAGAAGTACTTACAAGGCCTTCAAGAGTTCCTACAGTCCCAGCACTCATGTGTTTATGTGGTTGCAGTCTGGGCCTTGACAACTGGCCAGCACTTAGGACAGTATCATATGATCACCATTTGCAACATTCTCTGCCTGCTTCTCTGAAGCAAAGCCAAATAGGAAGTCAGCCCGGCAGGTGGCAAGTCCCTCCACTAAGTTACAGGCAACTCATGTACCTTCCCCTGCCCTGCAGCAGCCACTTACTGGCTTGCTTGGGACTTACTTAAGGATTCTTGCTTAATGCTGGCAATAGGAAATGCTGGGATTTCCATCATTAAACAGTATGATCTTACTTTGCAACTGCATTACTTAGTGATGGAAACCCCAGAAGTCCCCATTGCCATTATTAAGCAAGGATTACCTGTAATAATTGAATTCACAAAACACTGTTAAGTCACTATTTAATGAAATATTTCAACAGTTAAAAGCTTCTGTGACTAATTTGTTTTTTTTTTCACTATGTTAATGAGAATTATTCTGGAGGACAAAAACAAATTCCATACCTAACTGCTAACTACCTTTGTTTAAGAGCAAAAATGAAATACAATCCTGCCATTTACTAGGTTAAGTGGACTACCCCATATAGTATTTCTGTTGTTTTCTTTTTCCTTTACTTCTTTGCCGTATCTTACCATCTTAATTTTCAGCTCTGAGAATGTTAAAATATAATATATAAAAACTGACATTTCATATTTGTAATTGAGCATTTGTTTGGCAACCTGTGATGATTCATAATAGCCTTCAGAACCATCTGCAGATCTACCATAGAGAGGCAAAAAGAGTGCAGAAACATCTGTGTGCTATAGTTGAACAAATAAGAAAATAGAGTAGCCCCCTATAGGAGTGTTTTTATCTCATACTTACTCTATCTAGTCTAGAGAGTAAAATAGAGAACATCTAAGCCAGAGGTGATATTCAGCAGGTTCAGACCAGTTCTGGAGAACCGGTAGCAGAAATTTTGAGTAGTTCGGAGAGCTGGCAAATGCTACCTCTGACTGGAGATTTTACAATATCCTTCCCCTGCCACGCCCACCAAGCCATGCCAACAGAACCGTTAGTAAAAAAAATTGAACCCCACCACTGATCTAAACTGAAAAGATTTGAATGTAGAAATTATACAATTGATCAGGGATGAGTAGGACAACTACTAATCATAAGCCGAAAGCTGAATAAGGATCCTTAGTTAGTTACTTAATTTTTTGAACCTAAGAATTTCAACCAGAAAACCAATTGTGCCTGTAATGGTTTCAGTCAGTTATCATTTAGTTTTTAGCTCTTATCTTACGTAAACATTATTAGTTCTGGATTGTGATTCTTGGGTATAGCTGAAATAAAATAGAAGGCATTCAGTTTTCTGCATCCATGAAATACTTTTGCAACTATGTCTATCATTACTAGTATTATTGAATGAAATATTTTCTGTAATGTATTTCAGCTTTAATTTGAGTGAAGAGCTTAAAATTATAACATTTTCAGGTTAAATCTCTTTATGTTGCAATAACATATACAGTATGTGTGTATGGTTGCATGCATATATGCACACACAAGCACATACCTATATGCAAGCACGTACCATTATATATCTTGGCAGTTTTGACTTTCTGAGAAGATAGTTGTTAAGTGTAACTTAAAAATAGAAAGCCAAAAAGCAGGTGACAAAATGTCGGGCAGGCAGTCCCTGGTAGAGTGACTGAATGAACACAGCATGCACACATGCACATCAGATGTCACAGATATGGTTCTATTTTTGTACCTGACTTTAGCAAAGGAAGAAAAAAGTATTTTTAAAAATGTTTAGTGCCATAATTACAAGCTTCACTTCATTATTACCAACTCATATATAAATATATAACAGCTTTAAATGGTTTAAATAACCATTTACTGCAATTTGGTTATTTGACAGTTATTTTGGCAGATTTTTGTGTGCTGAATGGGACTCTTCTGGAATCTTATCTGAAGTTTAGAAAGGATTTGTTTGCTGTTTCTCCCTTGGCCAAATAGAAGATTGTCTTGGTACCTTTTACATAAATGCCAAAACTGCTAGGTTAAGTGCTGGAAACTGTTTTTGGCAGGAGCGAAACAGTACATTTTTGGGAACATGTTTCGATTTCCTATTCAGAAGATAATATTCTTGCTTCGGGTTTCTTAATTTAAGCTAAATAATAATAATTTGTACATCTTTGGTGTTTGTGATAGGGAATAATAATTCCTGCTGAAAAAATTAGCCATTGCTATTGAGCTTACATTTACATTATTTTGCTTAAATCATTGTGGGAAAATATAGGAAAAGATAGGATAACATATTAAATTTTAAATGGTGTGGAATAAATTACTACTTCCATGCCCCCATGAATTCTTGTGAAGTGCAAGATGTTCTAAAACTGTTCTACTTAGAATATAACAAGTATCAGCCCTTATGGAGATTTTTATTGTTTCTTTCTTCCTTTTTATTTTTTAAAACACCAAGATTCTTCTGACTCAGCTTTATCTACAATTCTTATTGTAAAGGCTATAATTTATGGTATATTTTGCATTATAAGATGCTAAAAACCAGTTTTACTGATTTTAAAAGCGAACTATTTCCTATCGTACTGTACTTGTGTATAATTCATAACATACATTTCATTTTCTACATGGAAGAAATAGTGCCTTTTGTCATGTAGCAAAAAGTGAAGAATCTTCTTCAGCACTACATAAATTTAGAGGAAGAGTTTGGGTTTGGGAGAAGAGGAGCCTTCATGAAATTGAGTATGCACACCTTGTTGAAGTTATCAATTAGAGGCTTCCTTCCCACCCTTCTTTAAAAGAGATTTCTGTGGTGAAGGTATCCTATAGTGCTTAAAGATTTTGGAAGCTTCTAGGGCTTCATATAGATTACCTTATTTATATCCTTGTAACAATTTGCAAGGTACTTTACTATTCACATTCTTGCAATATAGATGGAGAGATGAGATTCAAATAATGGAACAAACATGCTTTCAAGATATATAAAATTCAGATCACAGTCTTGAGTGAATTAAAGAGGCTTGTAATAGTTTCCAGAAGCAGAAGATTTCATACACTCACAATCCAAGCTATTGTACACATATAAAATAGGCTTTGGCTTCTCTTGAGGAAGCATAAGCAAGTTATTTCTACTCACACTATCAGTAATCAGCTAAATAAACACTAAAGAGCTAATGGTTTGTTTTGACAACAAGAAGCTGTTAGTATTTCTTCCCAAATTTCCCTATTGAATCAATGGGATAGAGTTGAGGGAACAAAATGTTAATTTTTCCTCCAAAGCACAATATTTAACATTAGGTACTGTTTCTCGTTACAGTTAATTAATTGAAAAGCGTGCTTTCTGTTAATCTAAAAATCAAATTCCAAGAATTAGAAATAAGAGCAGAAATATTTCCATTATAAAGAAACAATAAAAGGAGATTAACATATTTAGGTTCATTTTTTTCTCAGACGGTTTGTTATCTTTTACCTTTAATGAACATAGCATATAGTAGTTATTATTATATATCTTGTATAGAAGATGAGATGGAACACATTTTGAGATGATTAACACTATTCATATCTGTTTGATTTTGAAATGCTAGTTTTTTTTAAAAAAAACTCGTATTAAACTTCTGTTTAATATTTTTTAGGTCGTATGGGTATAAATTTTCATCATCCAGGAACAGATAACATTATGACACTCAATAGTAAGTTCATATCTTACTTTACTGCATTTTGTACAACTTGTATATTAAATATGGTTTTGCATGTATGTGTCCATTTTGATTACAAAGAAGGGAGTAGAAATAGATAATATAAAAGTCTGCACATCATTCAAAAGTCTATCATATTATTCCAAACTGAAGGGATTATTTTTAGAAGAAAGTTGATTGTAATATAAGTAGTCCTTGACTTATAACATTTTGTTTAGTGACTGTTCAAAGTTACAATGGCACTGAAAAATGTGATTTATGACTGTTTTTCACACTTAACGATCAGGGGTGGGATTCTACTGGCTCAGACCAGTTTGGGCAACTGGATGTTAAAGTTACATCTGGTTCGCCAAACCGGTATTTCAACTGACTATCTGGCCCTGCCCACCCCACCCCTCCCTTCCCAGAAGTCTCCACGTGATGCAGGTAAGAGCAGAGTTTGCGTAGAGGTTCTGGAAGAGGGAAAAACGGGCCTTCTGGACGTCTGGAAACAGACCTATTTCTGGCTTCCAGAGGGCCTCCATAGCCCGGGGGAGGCCATTTTTCACCCTCCCAGAGGCCCGGGGGAAGTCTCCAGACCCTTGTGGGGGGGGGGAGAAAAATGGCTTTACCAGAAGTCCAGAAACGGGCCTGTTTTGGCTTCTGGTGGGCCTCCAGAGCCTGGGGGAAGCTGTTTTCGCCTTCCCAGAGGCCTCTGGATCCTTGGCAGGGCGAAAACAGCTTCCTCAAGGCTCTGGAGGCCCACCGGAAGCCGAAAACAGGAAACCCACCATGGCCATGCCCACCCAGCAATGGGGCAGTGAACCAGTTGCTGGGATTTTTGAATCCCACCCCTGCTTACAATTATTGCAACATGCCCATGGGCACATTTTCAAAATTCAGACAATTGGGAACTGACTTATATTTAGGACTGCTGCAGTGTTCCAGGGTTATGTGATCACCTTTTGTGACCATCTGACAAGCAAAGTAAATGAGGAAGCTAGATTCACTTAACAACTATGTTATTAACTTAATAACTGCAGTGTTTCACTTAACAACTATGGCAAGGAAGTTCATGAAATGAGACAAAACTCAGTTAACAAATGTTTCACTTATCAACAGTAATGTTGGGCTCAATTGTGGTTGTAAGTCGAGGACTACCTGTATTGTGATTATAAAAATCTGTACAGTATATTGGAGAAAACTAAAATGTATGGTAAAGATCTTCAGGTTTTTGAGCTACTTAGAGTCACAGCCCCAAGTGCTCTGATCATTACTGGAACTACTGATTTTTACTTTCCATATCCTCTCTAATTCCTCCTTCAAGCTCTGGTACTACTCCAACTTTCCATATTCCTTCCTTATATTGCTGTCACTTGGCACTGTTACATCTGTCACCATCCATCACAGCTACTTTCTGATTCCTGTCTATTATTCCAATGTCTTGTTGAGTGGTCAGTACCTGCCTGTTCATCTGGATCTGGAAATCGAAATCTAGAAATCAGGATCTTAGCCCTATTATCTTCCATAACCTTCTATGGAATCCCTGTTCTAAATTAATCCATACACAGTACAGATGTTCCTATACACAATGCCATCTGGTTAGACTATTCAAATAAAAGGGCGGGACTAAAAGATAGCAGCACCAACCTACCAATATGTGGTAAGTTGTTGGACTGTCTCTGAGGGCTTTCTGGATAATCTGCACCTTGGATCCTGTCCAGTGTGGTATACCCCTCCATATATGGATTTGGTACTTATTGCCTGTTCTTGTTGCTACCTTTTAGTCCAGCCCTCTCCAGGCACTTATAAGATTTCCCAATGCACTCAATGACTGAACTATCTGTCAATGGTAAAATCCTATTCAGTGTCTTGTCTTACCGCAGCTGTTCTTCTGTCCCATGGCTGCTTTTACCCGGACATTCTCTTAGGCAACTCTTCTGTGGGTGCCATCCAGAAGTGGGATTCAGCTGGTTCGGGACCAGTTCAAATTAACCAGTTGTTAAAATTTTGCCCAGTTTGGCAAACCAGCTAATCCCCACTCCCACCCATTTTCTGGGCCGTTTTTTGGCCATTTTTCGGGTGAAAAACAACCAAAAATAACCTGAAAATGGCTCGAAAAACAGGGCAAAAAAGGAAGGAAGGAAGGAGATGGGAATGAGGAGAAGGAAGGAAGGAAGGAAGGAAGGAAGGAAGGAAGGAAGGAAGGAAGGAATCCAGCTTTAGCTTAGTCTCTTTCAGAATTGCCTGCACAGAAGTATTGTCAATCCTTCTCCTTCTGCTATTTTATTTATTATTTTTGGGGTGCAAATGGGCTTTAACTGTAAATTGCTTCTGAAGTGTCAGTGGAATTTATTGCCTCTGCCACCTCAGGTGTGAAATGTTGGCTGTTATGCTTTTTAATAAGCTCAGCCTCCTATGTCTTACTTTTCTTGGTGATGGGAGCAGAATGCTTTGCTGGTCTCTCCTTATTCTTTCACTGGAGGGATGGGCATTTGCACCAGGAAACTGAGGGTTGGTTAACCCTTTCATTTCTGGAGGTGTTGCATATAAGCACAAGGCCTGGGGAAAGGGAGAATGGCTGGGAGGAAGGGCTGAGTGTAATGAGTTGGCCATGTCCACCCAATCATCTGACCACCCAGCCACCCCTGCCCAGCCAGTTATTAGGGCAGAGAACTGGTTGTTAAATTATTTGAATCCCACCACTAGTGTCACCTTACTGATGTTCTCCTGGATACTCTGGGTTTCATACAGGACAGTAACTTTGACACCCATCAAATTCCACTGTCCTCTTTCCAGATGATGTACAGTCTCTTTCTGCAGTGTCAGTATTGTAGCCAATGAGGTTTATTTGAGGTGTTGTTATTGCTAATTGCAAATTTTTCAATATATATAAATTTATATATGTACATTTAAAATTTTTCTGAAACGTTCAGAGTTGAATGTTTGATTGACTTTCTTTGGCAGGCAATATCTGCTTATTTTATTACTAGTAATAAAATTGTGTACTAAGCGGGAGAGCATTGCAATTATTTTGGTAAATGTGTTTTAAATCAATTCATTTAAATCAAGGCTAATGTGGTTTTATTTTTTAAATTTACTAGCATAGATCTTCTTATCTATTTGTATAAACAGTCTAATTTGTTCTGAAGAAGAAGAGCAATATGATTGAAGTCAGAAAGAGTTATGCACAAAAGATTCTGTTGCTTGATACTATTACCTATCAGATCTGTCTCCAAGAGTTTATGAATCTCTACAAATTTCTAATTACTGGAGTTTTTATTTTTTATTCCATATACATTCATGTTATAATTAATAATTTGTAGGAATTGTATTGCACTGCAAACGTGAGCTTAATAAATTATTGGAAATCCCATTTTTATGCACCTTGACATTAATATACAGCTAGTGAATATGGATGTATTCAAGTTCACACAGTGGAAATATTGATCATAATCCACTGTTGAATTAAATTGGATTAGTGTAGGGTATACATTGCTCTTATCTGATTATTAATGAAAGATGCAACCATATTTTCTCCTACAACAGTGCATTAAATGCATGTATATGTTCTTTGTATGATTCTGTTGGCCACTTAGCAAGTAATCAATATAATCTATCTCATAACTATGCTATTTGCTTTTGCACTTTATTCTAGATTATATTCCTGTAAACTAACTACACTAACTGATAGCCTTTTAAAATATAATGTGGTCCAAACCTATGGAAAATAAGATACTATTATTATTTCAGCAAGATACTATTTCTTGATATCATCATTCCCAGTATTAAAAAAGAACACCCTACTAACAGCTATCTCTTTAGCATTGGACAGTGCTATCCTGCTCTGAATTAGATAGATAAACAGAGAAGACATATGGTTCATTAATTTTCTTATTTGAGGAGTGGTCAGTTGACATCTTATTGATATTCAGAAAAAGGAGATCATTAGATCAAACTAACATTTGCATTTATCATCTGGGTAATAGCTTAAAACAAATTACTAAACTATACAGGTATTTTAGATGTACAAATAGATATGGATGAAAAATTAATTAGTTACAGAAAAGAAAACAACTTGGCTAACATATCAGTCCCTTTTACCAAAAGGACCTACATATTTCATGCAATTTGTTTGCAGTGTGGACAATAGTTTGACTACAATTAAAATGAAAGAGAATCTTTTAAAATGTAGAAGGTAATGAAGCAGTGGTAATTAAACATATATGTTTAAATACAGAGAACATATTTTGAGAAATTAAACACTATTAAGAACATTATTAGGACTGTACAATGTGTTGAATTTAATTCTACAAAGTACTTCAAACCAAATGGGTACGAGTATAGCATTAATCCTGAACCCTTTAAAATAGCTGTATTTTTTCCTTGGATTTTATGGCAGTTTTGTACTGTAGCCATAAGATCCTGGGAGAAGACATGATTGCTTTAAAGATTTGCAGGTAGGTATAGGCATTAAAACAGGACTGATAACCATGGCATCTTATCTACTGAAAATCATTCCAGATTAAATATCTGTGTTTGTTTCTTGATACAATTTCTTATCATTTGTTGTCTAATTAAATATAATGCATCCAATCTCCACAATTAGTCTCTCTTTCCAACAAAGTCCAAATAAAAAAGGTTTGCAATTCAGACTAATAAATCCATTCCCCAATCTTCCCTTTAGAAAAAGAATTTATCAGTTTTCTATGTCATGATTCTGCTATTGTAAACAAAGGCAGACTTGAAGTTCAGAGAGATGTATGGACACAATTCAGTTAGTTTCTCCATCTTTTCTCAGATTTCAGCCACTGCTTGTCTGTTATCTCAAACATTATTTCTCTATGAAGCTTAACCAGAGAACAAAGAAGCTGAAGCAGAAGGAAATAAGAAAAATATTTTCTGGATATTTTGATCCAAAATTAAGACAAAAAATTAAAAAGTAACTCCGAGTACTTTGCAAATTAAAAAGATATAAAAACCCTTTGGTGAGAGTCCAATATTAATGTAAATCAAATGAAAGCACTTCACCATCCATAAGCACACTGTGTTTCCATACAGAAAGCAAAATTTATTTAGAACAATCAAAGGGAAAAAGAAAAAAGAGAACGGTTAAAAGTCCAGCAGGGGGTTGAAGTAAATTGGCATTCAGCTGGCCAGTGTACTTTTATTTATTAAAGATATAAAGCAAAGTAAAAGTTCAAAAAGTGAAATTAAGACCAGGCATGCTTTAAAAAAACCTGAAATGCTGTCAGGAAGATAGATGCCTGCAACATTCCAGTCGCTCCCAGAGGGAACTGGAACTTTCAAGACTGCCCTTGCCAAATGGGTCCAGGGCTATCCAAAAGTTATGTTGGGTTCCTAAATTCTCCCATTCAAATCCAGGGAGCAGCACTGCCAGAGAGTCAGCTTAGGCAGCAAAATCACAAATCTTCAGCAAGAGATTTACTGTTCTCCTTACTGTTCAGCAGCCATCTTGGGGAGGAGTCCAGTGGTGGGATTCAAATTTTTTTACTACCGGTTCTGTGGGTGTGGCTTGGTGGGCATGGCAGGGGAAGGATACTGTAAAATCTCCAGTCAGAGGTGGTATTTGCCGGTTCTCCGAACTACTCAAAATTTCTGCTTACTGGTTCTCCAGAACTGGTCAGAACCTGCTGAATACCATTGGAGGAATCTAAACATGTGAAAGGTAAATACTTTTTCTCACATGTTGAATTGTACATGGGAATGTATCTCTTTAATGCAGTTCTTGAAGATCTATGCAGAGTCTTTCATGTCATTTTTGCACTCAAAGAATTCACAGATGCTACATTAAATTTGCTTTATTAGGTGTTGTCCTTTTGTATACTTATTACATTTATTAATTCTGGATTGATTAGTTACTTAAATAAAGCTGAAATACAGGTAGTCTTCAACTTACAACAGTTCACTTAGTGACCTTTCAAGTTACAACGGCACTGAAAAAAGTGACTTATAACCATTTCTGATACTTATATATATGTTGCAGCAATCCACTGGTCACATGATTTACATTCAAATGCTTGACAACTGATTCACATTTATGACTGTTGCAATGTCCTGGGGTCATGTGATCACCTTCTGCAACCTTCTGACAAGCAAAGTCAATGCGGAAACCAGTTTCACTTAACAACCCTGTTCCTAATTTAGCAACTGCAGTGATTCACTTAACAAATATGGCAAGAAAAGTAATAAAATGGGGAAAAACTTAACGAATTTCTCACTTAGCGAAATAAATGTTGGGCTCAATTGTGATCATAAGTTGAGGACTACCTGTATTAGGTATAGACTTAAAATCAATTATGTATTTTGCCATAATGCAACTTAAATATCAAATATTTTCACTCATTCTAATACATAGTAGAATGAAAGAAGAAGTATTTCCCTAGCATAGAGATACAGTAAATAAATGGTTTGTTTTTAATTAGCATTTTCCTTATTTGTGTTTCAATATTTGGTGTTGGTATATATATTTGCCTCTTTTACAGCAGCTTCTAAAAGTGTTCTTTGTGTTTACATTAATTTCATTATTTTACATTATAAATATATTATAAATAATATATAATTTTATATAATATGTATAATATATAATAATATTATAAATAATACAAATTATAAATAATTATAAATACATTATAAATAATGTAAATTAATTGCATTAATTTCAGTGAATTTGGCTCCATTTTTCCCGGCACTGTCTTTCCTACAAAATGAACCTGACAGAAATACATACGTAAAAAATGTTTTATTTTTTTTGAAAATGGAAGATTCTTTCTTCTCAGAGTTAATATAATTTAAAAGCTGTCTACATTATTTTTAGTGTTTACTACTCTTTTTTGTTTTTATTTTTACAAACTATATATGGAGCAATAGATTCATTCACCGCTATATATTTGTTTCTAGAAGTCAGTGATATTCATGTGTGTGTTTTGAATTTGAAATAAATTTTACAATACTATCCTACATGAAATTAGCCATTTGAAATCATTAGAAAGCTCTAAATAGCAATGCTACAATAAACAGTTTATTGAAAAAAACTGAAATGATGTTGCTGGCAAATAGAGGAAGATCAAAATATCACCAATTGCTATAAAGGTTTAAATGTCCATTATGTTAGCTTTCTAGAAAGAATAATTTATTTGGCTCAATTTCACAATGTCCTGTACCTAAAATCTTTTTGGTTCAGAAACTAAATGCTTATTTCGACCACCTGTACTAGCGCATTCAATGGAAGAAGCAGTAGAACAATTATTGAATTCTTCATTTCAGAAAATGGAAAAATTACTATTTACTGTTTTAGTGAGATAAGAACTGAAGTTTAGATGGGCTTTAATAGTTACAATTATATTTGAGTAACCTGTATTTTTTTAATATAATGGTTTAATTTTTATAATGTTCACAAATTGCCTTCTATTTGCCAGTATATAAAATTGCTTTGAATGTTTGATAAAATTGGAATTTCAGAATAAAGTTGTATAATCAAGATTATAAGGATATTAGTTTTGATAATAAATACTATATAATTAATCTACTGCATTTTCAGATATATTTAGCCATTTAAACTAGTATGACTTGATCTAAAGGATTCTATATAAATTGATTTATTAAACAAAATTATTTTTTAAATGATTTCAATTAAATAATTGCTTGAGATTCTTTTTTGTAAAAATAGTACTCTCATCTAGGTGCCTTTTACAATAAGTTCTTTAGTATCAACTATATTTTGCCCATGTATTTTAGATATCTGGAATTGTGCATTTGGCTATATTTCATATGCTTGTTCCACATTTAAAATATTTGAATTATTTTGTTCAAAGTTAAAATTTGCAGAAAATTATAAATATAATCTTGTTATGCCAATACCTATTGTATTTTTTTTATTTACATGCAGCCAGAAGCTATGGGCGGAGACGAGGTAAATTTTTATTTTGAATGCTTCATCAGATATGGTCATGAGAACAACAAATTACAGAATAAATAGCTGTATATTTTCGTAAGAATTGCTTTTCTCATCCCATAACATCGATACTGGTCTTTGTCCTGCTCAATAGCTTTGCAATTACATGAATATAATGAAATGAGAGTATTGAAAGAGAATTTCACTGCCATTAAAAGCTAAAACTGGTAGGAGTAGAAAGGATAATTGGCTTTATCTGCTTAAAGAAAAAGTGCAATATTAATATATTCCAATATAAGCATGCAGTTTTTCTTGATTTTTAAAACCTGATAAAACATATGGGTAAGCTTTATGCTCTCTGTAAAATAAAAAAGGAAGTGTTTAAATAGACTATTCCAGGAATCTGCAATAAATGCTTACAAGAAATATTCTGACATATGCTTGGGCAAGCTTAAAGTCAAACAGCAGATGATTTTATGAACAATCTTCAACCTCACTAAAATATATGAAATACATCAATGTGGTTTCAGAGGATGGAACATTGCCTATTTTCATTTACCATTTTTTTCTTGAAATCCTCTATTTGTTGTAGATGATAAAAATACAACCCATATTACAATGAAATAATAGATTTTGCTCAAAAGGCAAATGCCACTGGCAAAATTCCTGATCCCTGTAATGACTGGAATGGGAAAAATATGTTTTTCCTTATTACAATTCCAATTTATATTACAATATAAATTATATTGTAGTTTTACTAAAATATATTAAAATTAATTACAAATTAATTAATTACAAAATATATAACAATTATTTACCAAATACACGTGAATCCCCTTAACCTATCAAGGGATATTTTAAAAATCTTTAACTTGTTTTATTTTAAATTAAAACTCAGATCTAGAACATTTTAGGGGCTTATATTTGGATTTAAAGATATTTTGAGACTTTTAAATCAAGCTAATGTTTGCTTTTTGCGGACCTGAAACAGAGGCTGAATTAAATTTTAAAATTGCAAAAGAAAAATTTCTAGGAGAAGTGTAATTTCAGAATTATTCTTTAAAATATATTTTCTTCATATCCTGTACAGCCCAATGTATGCATTCTGCAACTACACAGGACAAAGTTTGTAATTTTAAAATTGGATAATAAATACTGTTGACCAAACTCTAATTCCATACCTCACATTATTACCAGTTTTACCTTTCTGCCCCATTGTTTTTTATGACTGCAGGCTGCAGCACCATTAAAGTTTACCTTTTTTTTTAATCAGGTGAAAGCAAATAATTGTTTTTTTTTCCTTAATTTTTTCCTCACCCATCTCTCACTTAGCGATTCTTGGCATCAGTTGGTAATCCATCAGTTTAATGCTTATTGTATATTAGTTCCACTATAGTATGAGATTGCCATGCTGTTTGTTTTCCTTGCTTGATGACATGCTGCCCCCCTGTCAGAGAGTTCAGAGGCAAGTTCTGAACTGAAGCTGTTCTTTTTCTCATCTTCACGAGCTGGATGCTAAAGCCAAAGCTTTCCTGACTTTGCGAGCCTGGCATGTCTTCCTTCTGTTGCTCTTATTACCAGTCTCCTCCTATAAATTCTAGACCAGTAGTGTAAGCCATGTCATTGTCATCTGGCCAAGGTGAATATTGCCAGCATTCGGAGGTAATAGAGGAAAGATAGGTAAGGTGGGGCTCTGAAACTCTTTTATTTTGTGTTTCATCTCCCAATAGCACGTTCCAGGATAGTTAGGATAATGGATTTGAGGAGTTGTATCCAAAGCATCAGGAGAGCACCAACACCAATTGGCTTATTTTTTCTGAATAGAACATAATGATAGTTGCGATAATTTTTTATTCTAGGCAAGTAACTGAATTTGACTCATCAAATAAACCAGTCAGAACTAACATCTTGGAACTTGTCAATAAAGTGTTACGGATAGAGAAATATATACTGCTATGATTTTAAAATGAGTATTAATACTAATGATGATAATGATGACAGCCTGCTGATAATGAGAAGTATTGATATAATGTTGATATTAGCAGAAATAAGCATAATGCATACAGATGATTAAAATAATTGTGAAGATGATAATAGTATCTATTACCCATTCTATTTTTGGCTTTTACTATTTTTCTACACTGGCTGTACCCAATTTTTTTTAATGCTGCCAATATCAGTTGCCGCATTCAACTTGAAAAGAATTCTCTTTCTCTGTCAGGATGTTGATTTTGGAAAATGTCTTCAGAGCAATTGTTTACCATCATGAATGGGCTTCTATTTGTTTTTGCTCATTGCTGATGATAAAACTAAGAAAAGGAAAACAGCCTAGAACCAATGCCTTTGCAGATTTTCTTGGCACGGTTGCATTTAGAATATCCTCAATTAGAAATCATAGTTACTAATAGATGAAGATTAATGAGTTGATTGTGCTGGCAGCTCATTACTGCAGAATCTAAATATACCATATTTGCATCTAAACATATTCGATCCCTCGGCTAAAGTAGATTAAAAAATTATTTGATGAATTAAAATTACTAATAAAGTTAACTGAGATATTTTTCTTATAGAATCGATAAGGCTACCTGATTGTTTGGGTTCTGTTTTTCTTTTGTCTATTTTTTGCTAGTCTCAGGGCAGAAAAAAGCCAGGCATGCATTGTCATGTATAAGTGAATTTAGATATGAGTTGTTTACTAAATCTTCATTTTTTTCCTCCTATTGTTATGTGGAGAACTGTCCAATTTTTTGTTATTTTAATTTGTGATTATGAACCAAAATTATTTTATTATTTGGTTAATGTGACTTAATAAGAATTGTGAAGTTAAAGTAAACAGGGTCTACAATGTTGCCAAAAGAAATTGAATATTAATTGATTCAGGAAACTGAGAAATATTCTATGCCAGAGGTCTTCAAACTTGTTTACTTCAACTCCCAGAATTCTTCCTCCAGTCATGTTAGCTCAGGAATTCTGGGAGTTGAAGTCCACAAGTCTTAAACTTGCCAAGTTTGAAGACCCTTGTTCTATGCAAAGAATTAATGACTTGTAAACCTACTAAAAGTATATTAATATTAAAAAAGAATATAACTTCATTACAAAATGGTTAAGATTATCCATTTTAGATTCTTTATCTCAAGCCTCCTAGGTCATTGGGTTGCAACTACCATAATTCTAACTATTGTACTGTGAGAAAAAAATATATAATTTAAAATACCTGGAGCCTATCTGTTCTTTAACAAAGTGAAAGTTAGCCATGATTATTTGGGAATATCCATCTGGATATCCATCTGGATTTGGAATTCCCACAGGATCTTAGTCCTATTATTCTCCATGACTATTTAAGGAATCTCCCATCTGGACTTGACGGTCTTGTCCACACACAGTGCATAGGTTCCTGTACATACTGTAGTGCTTGTTACTTTATTGTACCATTCAGGCTATCCTGCCTGCACTTTCTACCTTGACACCTTGTGTTAGACTGTTTCTGAAGCTTTTCAGCACAATCTGTACTTTGGGTCCTACCTAGTGTGGTAGACCTCTGCTTCCTGGTCTTGTGCTGCTATGATCGGTGCCTCAGTACAGCCTTTACAACCTACTTAGTTCAGCCTTTTCCAGCTACTGATTAGATTTCTTAGTGCCAGCCATCTCTTGATGGTCCATCTTGAGTCTTGGGTGACTGTTCTGTCTATGAGCAATTGGAGTTTTGAGTCTCAGGTATTGTTCACAATGCATTACTGAGATGTGCTCAAGTACTGGCTCATATGGTCCTGTGGCTTGACAGCTGTGATGCCTGATAGAATTTTCCTCTTCACTATGTTTAAGTGTTGGGTAACTTAGCTGTTTTTCAATTAGCTTGAATATAGGTCTTCTGTCCCTCTCATACATTTCATATATCCCCTCTCATTAGGTCTACTATTGTTGTAGCATTTCATCAGTTACAGCTTCTATTGTTTGGTTTGTTCCAGATTGTCCTTGTTCCCCAATATTTGGAACAAACCTTGTTACTCTGGGCAACTTCTGAGCTGGCATGACTCTTTAAGTCAGGGGTGGGATTCAAATTTTTTAATGGGTTCTGTGGGTGTGGCTTAGTTGGTGGGCGTAGCTTGGTGGTCATGTGGGCATGGCCAACTCAATATCACTCACATCGAGGCAGGCATCTCCTCGCCTGGCCTCTCATGACTGTGGGGATGCTGCAACAGTCATAAGTGTGAAAAATGGTCATAAATCACTTTTTTCAGTACCATTGTAACTTTGAATGGTCACTCCACACAAGCAAAGTACCAGCAAAGGAGGGGAAAAAAACTCCAGAGACATTCCTGAGACAGGAAGTCTAGTTCTGCTAAGAATATAATAAGGGTTAACAGAGAGGCAGTTTCTGTAAGCAATACCAGAATGTTTCCTTCCTGCCTTCCTTACAGGATTAGGCCAGTAATTTCTTCTAACAACCGGTTCTCTGAACTGCTTAGAATGTTAACAACTGAATAGGGTTGTTCTAGCGAATAGATGCAAACTGATACCATGTATCTCCAACAATACGCCCCCCCAATAGGAAGACCCAGCATGTTTTCTAGGCATAAAATGAAATTAAGCCCCTCCCATCAAATTTAGGCCTAGTTTAAAACATGCAAAATTGGAGGAGGAAGGCAGGAGGGAACTTGCCATTAGGAGTGCCCCGCAGGCAGCTACGCCTCACCATCAGCTGCTCCTAACAGCCAATCATGGTGGAGCATGGAGGGCTCCCTTACCCCCCCTTACCCGCATCAGCAGGCGGGCGGCATCTGCGTGAATGTCCGGCAGCGTTTCAGCTGCTGCTCGGGCCTCCGTAGCTTCCACAGTTCCCACCGGTGCTGGCACCTCTCTCGCCAGCGCCGTCTCCAACAACAGCATCTGAGTCGGTCCCACTTTTCCCCCGTCCCCGTAACAACAGGAAAAAAAGATTTTGAGGTACCTGGGAGCGCCACGCGCTGCATTTTGGTTTAATCTCGAGCGGCTGGGTGGGTGTGAGAAGAGCCGAGCGAGTGTCTCTGCTGCTGCTACCCTTGGTGCTCCAGCCTCAGGCTCTGCAAGTTTGCAAAAGTCCTGGTGCGCAGCCCGTTCCTGCATTCCAAGCACCCAGGCCAAGCTGCAGCTGTCCCTCTCTCGCCAGCACCATCTCCAATAACAGTGGCAGCAGCGGCGGGAACCATGGAAGTGTTTCAGCTGCTTCTCAGGTGCAGGAGCCGCCTCTGTAACTTCCATGGTTCCCGCCACTGCTGTTATTGTGAAATCTACTTCCTGTGTCAAAGTGTGGCACTTTAACCACTATGCTTCCAAACCACTATACATCAAACTGGCTACACACATACACACACACACACACACACGTGCAAGTGCACATGGACATGCACACATACATATTTGTAATTAATACTTATCTGTAGAATAATACCACTGCATGTCTTAAAAAGCCAATGTTAAGAAAACTTCCAGAATTTGAAGTAATAAAGATTCTGAAAATATTGAGAAATTCGGTTAGGAAGTTGAAATCAGATGTTTTGAATAATTTGTACTGAATGGCTGCAACAATGGCTCATGACATAATTCAATTTTGTTGTGTTGAAAATGGTCATGCCATTAATCAAATTATTAACTAGAGTAATATATTGGGTGGCTCCTATTCTAGAAAATATTGCAGATTTGTGTTTTTGCAGATATACCCATATCATAAACACAATGAATAATCCCCCTAATGTTTCCTTTAAATAATCTACTTTAGAAGTCTTGTTTTCTTCTCTACCAGTTGGATTCCTTTTGATAACAAAAACAAGCTTTGATCTTTTGTAGAAGAAGCAAATTTTATTTCTGTAAGCAGGTATCAAGGAAAAGGTCCTTTCCCTTGTACCAAGATTAGGTCATGTAAACATGTTAGTATACATTTATAAACAACTTAGTATATGAAATATTTTTTAAAAAAATGCTTAACCCTTTTATCCTGACCGTTTTTGTTTTTTTATAAATAACTCAAAGCAACAAACATACCTAATACATTTTCCTCTTCCTATTTTCTCCATAACAATAATTCTGTGATGGGGGTAGTGGGTAAGAAAGAGTGACTGACCCACAGTTTCACAGCTAGTTTTTCATGATTAAGGCAGCACTAGAACTCACAATCTCCTGGTTTCTAGGCCAGCACCCTAACTACTAGAACCAACTGGGCCAGACTTACATATCCCAATTGGTTTATTTTGAAATGTTTCTTTCTATCATTTATAAAATGTTCTGTTCATAATATTATTTATATTAACATTATAGTATTTACTAAAAATGAATACAAGTCTCTTGAGCCACTATTAATTAGTGAAATGATAAGAGAATGCAGTACTACTTTTTCAGAACAAGATTTTTATCTTGAAAGACACTTGGATTTGCACAGTGACTTCCAAATCTGCATAGTACTTGAATGTGGAAGTCGAATTAACCAATGTTATATCTAACAACTTTCTAGGACAACTTCTTTTAAGCAAAAGTGACATGAGAGCAGGGGCTAGAATACTGTGGTGTAGATTTGGAATCTAATATACTTTAAGATAAAGAGATTTATTGAAGGAGTTTTCTGCCCCTTTCCTATCATAGTAGCCAGCAAAGCCACCCAAATTATTGAAAAACCTTTTTTAAGAAAATCAGTGTCTCTCTTAAATAAATGAGATAGGATGCAGAAGGTCACCCGGTTTGGAGCAATTCTCCACTGCATAACTGGCCCCCACAATCTACCCAGGAGTTTTTTTTGAACCTGGGATGGAACGTGGGTGCTGGTTATGCAATGGAGAATTCCTGCAAACCCGGTAACCTTTTGCATCCTATCTCATTTGTTTAGGTGAAACACTGATCCTTTGAAAACGCTGTTTATAATTCAGGGCCAAATGTGGATTTCAGGGCTGAATAGTGGAAGAAAAAACTTCCTTGTAGAAAATCTCTTAGGTTCTTACCATAAATATAAACCTGATTTGAGCTGGGTAACTATAGAAAGATATCAAGGTTCTTTTCTTGACAATAATATTGAATTGATTTAATGTTGCTTTCACTGTTTAGTCTAGGCCCTGGGATTTCTAGTTGGTCTCTCAAAATGTTGTCATCTTGCTTAGCTTTTTCAATATAAGCCAAGATTTCTGGATGCGATTATCACTTATAGTATATTGCAGTCCATAATATTTGCATAAATATATGCATGGATATATAGACACACAATTTGCTGTGTGATTATTTGCTTGTGCTTGTATTTTACTGTATTGGTTTCAGGAAAGAAAGTTTATTATGTGGTCAAATTTATTTTGAAACAAGCACCTCAAATAAAAAAGGAAATATACAGAATGGTTCAGTTTTCACTTTTAGTTACACTTAAAACATATTATACAAGAGCAAGATTTATGGATGCTGTGTGACTTATAGATATTCTAGACGATGGAACATATTAATATTTCATATTGGATTTGTATAATCTTTATAATCTGAGTATTAGATAAAGAATAATAAATGTGACAGATCTGCTTTTACGGCTTATGTTCTAATGAAAAGCGTTGGGAGGGAGAAACCTGTGAATCATAAAATTATTTTGTGGGCATGTAGGTTCAGTAAGCAAAATGTTAATAGTTCCTGATAACTTTTCCTTTCCAAGGTGAAAAATTAACTTTTGAATTCACTTTGGCAATTTGCAAGTATATGTTGAGCGGGAGAGAATAGGCGTTTAATATTATCCTCTGTGCGAGTGTTCAAGCCAGCCATTCCTAGAAAAGTTTCTAGATTATGTTTGCATCAGAATTATGGTTTTCCGTATATAGGACTGGAAAGTATGTCAAACCACAAGTAAACACAAATTGATTAGAGGTATAACATGTGAATTTATCTCTACTTGCTTAGTTATCATGAATATTATGAATGTGTGTTTATAGCCCGCCCTCATAAGCTAATGACAATTTCTGTTTGAGTGTTTAAAAGATCCAGAGTTCAAATTGTCCTAATTTACTTGAAAATATATTTGTATGTAGAATATATATGAAAAATTTAAAATATTGAAGGAAAACATCATCTGCATGTTAAGCTATGTAGATTTATTAATGGAACGCCTCTATGCATATTTGAATCAGATGTGTAAATGTCTGATTTTTAAGCCACTGTAACATATTTCACAGGTCGATCTTCACTATTTCCTTTTGAAGATGGCTTTCTGGATGACAGTCATGGTGACCAGTCTTTATCATCAGGGCTCAACTCCCCAACCCGCTGTCAGAATGGTGAAAGAGTCGAACGCTATTCTAGGAAGGTGTTTGTTGGAGGTCTGCCTCCTGACATTGATGAAGGTACAGTGGAATGGTGGGAGGAAGGGTATAGCAGTTTTTTGCCCTTTAAAAATTATTGACAGGTAAGGCTCAGCAATATAGCGGTTTTCAGTTCTTTAAAAACCAGGTTAACAGAGTGAGCTCTTATATTCTGAGAGCATGGATTTTATTAATTGAAGAACTTTTGTACATGCAAACATATGGAAGTATAAAAAGATGTAAAAACCATTGAGACTCATTTTAAAAAAATAAACCTTTGTATACGCCTATACAGTCATATACATACACAGTATATATGTATACACACACAAAGACATAGTATATCTATTTTTCTTGACTACTTCTGCTTTCTTCCCCTTCTCTATTGCCTATACAAACAGAGAAATAAGAAGAGACAGAAGAACACAAGATAATGTTGATAACACCATCCCAGTGACAATTAAACTTTGGCAGCAGTCCAGTAAATTCCCTGAATCCTATTACTTACTACTTCTAAGTATACCAACACAGCAGTGAATACTGTTCAATATCTTAGACAGAAAAGTATACAATTGCCTGTTAGGATAATTTAGTGATGATGATACAGTACTTCTAATTCTTCTAGTATAGGTAGTCCTTAACTTACAACCACAATTGACTCCAAAATTTCTGTTAAGTGAGACAGTTGTTAAGTGAGTTTTGCTCCATTTTATGACCTTTATCATGAAAATTATTGCAGTTAAGTGAATCACTGCAGTTGTTAAATTAGTACAGGATTGCTAAGTAAATCTGGCTTCCCCAGTGACTTAGCTTGTGAGAAGGTTGCAAAGGATGATTACATGACTCCAGAACACTGCAATTGTCATAAATATATGCCAATTGTCAGACATCTGAATTCTGATCATACGACTGTTGGGATTCTGCAATGGTCATAAGTGTGGAAAATGGTGCTAAGGCACTTTTTTCAGTGCCATTGTAACTTTGAATAGTCACTAAATGAATGGTTGTAAATTGAGGACTACCTGTATAATAATAACATAGAATTTGGATCAAAATAGCTTAAATTGATTTACAGTTCTAATTAGTAATTTCTCCATAGGACAGGGAATATAAATATTTTTTTATTTTTCTGGTGTTACTTTTATTAATATTAAAGCAGTATGTTTTTCCATAGCCAGAGCTACATCTACATTTCATATGAGCAGTATATTAGCATTAGTCAGTAGCCCTCGACTTCACTGACAGGTTCTTTTCCTCTGCATTAAAAAAAGACAAAAAAACTAGACACAGATAAGACAAGGAAAGAAGTTAACACAGGGTAAAAAAAGAAATTTAAGAAATTTGATTCCAAATAAAGCTTTGTTTTGAAATATATGAAGTGCAAAATTTAGTGAAAGATCTTGTTTTGATATACAAGTGCTGTTTCAAACACACAGTGACTTTTTCCAGTATTTTGGAGGTGTTTCAGGGTAACTGACAGGCACTTCTGCTTTTGCCTTTGACATATTCAAGGTTAGAATAGCTCTTTTTTTCAAGTTCAAAACACCTCAAAAATGCTCAAAACAACTCATTGTAACTATGATTTATGATCTATGACTTATCCCTTTGTTGTTGTATGGGGGCACAGAGCTTATGAGACAAATTCCTTGGGTGTCCAATCACACTTGGCCAATAAAGAATTATATTCTATCCTGTTCCATTTTGCTCTGAATGCTCAACATTTCAAGGGACCTCATGCTCAAAACGTTTTGTACACCTGTAGTTCCAAAACTGAAAAACTTGAACTTCAGGCACATGAAATACAGGTAGTCCTCGACTTACAACCATAGTTGGGACTAGAAATTATGTTACTAAGCAAGGCAGATGTTAAATGGTTCGTTCCTGATTTTACATGCTTTTTTTGCCATCACTGATCATTAAACGAATCTGGGTTCCCCCATTGATTTAGCTTGTCAGAAGCTGGCTGGGAAGTCCTTATTGGTGATCACATGACCTCGGATGCTTTAGCCACCCTAAATACATGCCAGTTGTCAAGTGCCCAAATTTTGACCACTGACCCTGGAGATGCAGTGACAGTTATAAATGCGAGGAACCGTTTTAAGTCACTTTTTTCCTGCTGCTGTAACTTCAAACCGTCACTAAATGAATGGTTGGAAGTGGATGACTACCTGTACTTTAAAAAATCAGAACCATTAAGGAACATTACTTAGTTTTATCATTCAATTTTATTTCTGATGAGTCTTAATTATTATTTTGTTATAGATGAAATCACTGCTAGCTTTCGTAGGTTTGGACCTCTCGTGGTGGACTGGCCTCACAAAGCTGAAAGCAAGTCATATTTTCCACCTAAAGGTAATTTGTTTCAGTTTTATGAAGCAGAGAAATGTTCTTCTCCTTGTATAAATACATTGTTCAGTGCTTGAAATATTGGCTTTATCTTCCTTGTCATCTATAACTTTGTCATGTATTTCTGTTCTAACGTTCAATATGCCATTGCATATCTGCAATTAAATTCTACCCATAATAATACTGTGTTTTCTGTGGTTTCATAACCATTTTTCTGGATATCCTGCAACATGGGTTGTTTGAATCTTTTGTATAATAACTATCCAGCCTGGGTGGGTAATTTCACATGAAGATATTGGTATTATTCATGATAGGGCAGTCAATACCACACTTTTTTATCATAATGTACCATTTTCCTCAATCCTAGAATTGTATATACTAGTAGTATATAAGTACAATTCTGACCTTCACTATTGTAGAAACAGTGTGATCAGAGCACAGAGTGTAGGATACAAACGTTTTTGTATCTTTTTCAAATGTCTAAACATTTCCTTATCAGAATAATTTCAAAATAATTGTCAAAAATCTGGTACATAATAATTACTGTTAAGAACAACTGCATTTATCTCAGTAACTTTTAATGTTTAGAGCACTTTTTAAAAAATTTTATTTGCAAATGAAGAATGAAAGTATCTCTTTCAATAGGTATAAAATATCTATGAATGGGAAGGTTAAAACTACCTTGATTATTTAAATGAAGCTATTAATATATTAACCTATAAATTTATTTTGTATGCTAAAGTTTTATTTTTATTTTATCAGATGCCTAATATGCATTCAGTTCCTAATTAACCAGCTGATTACTAATTATCTGCAGATTAGTTTCAGTATTGTCTTTTCATTAACATTTTAGCCTTTTCTGATTCTGCTCATTTGCCAGGAAGAGGAGAAAGCCAGCACTTTCTGTATTCCCCAAAACACTATGAAATGTTCCTCATTTTTATCCTTTAGAAGCATAGAACATACAAGAATAACGAGGGAATATTCTTCACTCCTTTATCTAGCAGCAGCATTTCATAAGTTTTTCCAACATATTAACATTTTATCACATTTCACTTATATATGCGAAGTGGAATTTTTGTGTTTTAGTGCAATTTTTCTTTCTGGTTATAGTATTACTGAATTTCTTCATACCATCTAATATAATCTAACTTCTTTGGTTTAGGAATTGAGAACTCCAATAAAGAATTCTTTAGTTCTCAAGGCACCCTGCATTTGGAAGATTAAATCAGTGCTCTCTTGTGTTTATTAAAAATATTCTTGAGTGAAATATATTTTAGCAGAAGACAAGTCTTTTCTATTTTTTGCCAAGGCACTAATATGAGAAACAGCTTTCAAAGTGCCTGCCAGTTGCCCATGAATGTCTGTCTGAAAGTGATAAACACTTTGTCACAACTGTTCCAGATTATTTATAACTGGCTTCTGAGCTGTCAGAATTTTAGCAGACAACTTCCAGCATAATGATTAGAAACTCTGTTAGAATTCCCAGAATTGTAAGATCTCAGCATTAGATTGGAGATTATCCCAGCTAAGAAGTCTACTATATAATATCTCAGTAAAATTCTCAGTGCTAGGTGTCCATATTTAAAGTTCATAAAATAAACACCAGAAATTGAACCTGGAATTTCTATTGTAATTCATTACAGTCATTAAGCGGGTCACCACATAACCTGACTTGATTTTATGATTGTTTTTACAATGGCCATAGAATGAGTCACCAGAGTTGCTAAGCAAATCATGTGGTCAGTAAGTGAACCACAGGAACGTTAAGCAAATCCACTCTCCAAAATGGGCATTTTTTTTGGCAAAAAGATGCCGAAAACTGGCAAAAAACATTGCAAATTATGTGACTGCAGGATGCTGCAACCTGCTATAAATTCAAACTGGTTGCCAAACTCTTAAAATAAGATTGTGTGGCTGTGGGTTGGGTGGGGTGGGGGAGGATGGCAGTTTTACTTTCAAGGATGGGTCATAAGTAAGTTTTTGGAGTTTATCATAACTACAAACAGTCTTAAAGTGAACAGTTGTTACGTGAGGACTATCTGTATATGATTCATAATTTTTTCTCTGTTGAGTAATTTTCTGTTTGAAAATAATTCATCAGACTTTCATACTTATAAGATTACTAAGGAAACAGTGACTTTTTGTGTATTTAAACAGCAGATTACAGTGCTAGTTAATTACTATGCTAGTTTATTATGAATTTATAACATACATTAATTAGATACGTTATTTACTCTGTTAAATATGTCATAAGTAATTTCTATTATTCTAATGATTATTGACATAGTTCACAGAATATCATTTCTATTATTATGTAAATATTATGTTACTTAAAAAATCACAAATGAAATATACATAAATACATTCTTAAAGGAAAATTCTGTCCAATCTCATAATCATAGCTTATAACTTACAATTATAAATAAAACATTGGAATTATATGAATTATATAAATGATTGCACAGATGACTTTTTAAAACTAAAACTAAAGTTAAACCAAAACAAAATAAGAGAGATGAGCAAGAAACAAAGAAAATACAGAACTACCCAATTCCTAATTTGGTTCAGTTGTCTCTAATAAGAAAATATTTGATACATAGATAATTGTGAAAGCCAGAATAAAACCTATTACTACGAAATTAAGTTTAAAAATTCTAGGCTGGAAAAAACTGTATCCCAGAATACCAAAGAAGTTGGCTATGAGTTTTAGATATGATCCTTGAGTAATTATGGAAAAACAATTAAGTAGCAGGTGAGTGGAGAACAAATCTTGTCCGTTTTTGAAAATATGAAAAAAAGATCCAGAAATCTATAGATCATTCAATCTTATATAGGTACCTTTAGAAAATCCTAGAGCAATTAATAAACACATTCATATGTAAGGACCCTGAAAATAATGCAATAAATATATGAAGTCAACATGGTTTTACCAAGAGTATGTCTTGTCAGACTAACCTTATTTAATTATTGATTGGACAACTTCTCTTAATTATAGGAATGCTATAAACATGCTATATATTGATTTCAATTAATTATTTGATACCTCATGATTGCTTATTGGCAGGGTAGTTATAAGTGAATTGTAAAAAGAGTGGGGGGAAAAACTACATATAATCCTTGTTTAGCAATCAGTCAAACTGCCTCATTTAGCAACTGTTTGCAGCTACAATGGTGATGAAAAAGTAACATCATGATCATTCCTTGCATTTTTCATCTTTGCAGGTCTATAAAGTGAAGATAAGCTGAAGTAAGATCATAAACGCAATTATGTTTTCACTTAGCAATCACTTCCTTAACCACTAAGTTGCCAGTCCCAATTGTGTTTGCTAAACAAGGACTACCTGTAATGTTATGGTTTGGGGTCAGGGATATTGTGTTTTTGAAGACATTTTGAAAATATTGTGTTGTTTTACAACCTTCATGTTATGTCTGTTATTTGTGCTGTGTTTTTTTATAATTTGTATTTACTAATTTTATTCTTTTCCTCCAAGGTTATGCTTTTCTGCTATTCCAGGAAGAAAGCTCTGTTCAAGCTCTGATAGATGCCTGTTTAGAAGAAGATGGTAAACTTTATTTATGTGTATCAAGTCCCACTATTAAGGACAAACCAGTAAGTAAAATTATAATGTAGTCATTTCTTTCAATAATTGAAACAAAATGTTCTGAAAAGGAGTTGCCTGTTCAGTTTGATGAGGGCAGTTTTAGTACTATAATCCTGAGTTTGTTTAATTTTCTTGGTGGTAGTTGTAACCTTCAAGGTTACATTGAAGGTCATCTATGTATTCAAATATAATCATTGCATCCATTATACTGTCCATTGTATTCATTTTATGTGCACTGTGAGTCTTAAAACATTCTATCCTGGTCTTCGGTATGTGTTTAAAAATTCTTCATCTCAACAAAACAGCTGTCATTAAAATTCAAGAAGACAGAAAATTATCTCAATGTTGATTTTGCTCATTCCACTTATATATTTAAACTCTTTATGATCAGAGTCAGTAAGCAATGCAACATTCTGCTGACTTAAGCTTCATATATGTTACTTTCTCCACTAGAGAATTGGGGAGATACCATACATTTGGATTGTTTAATCTGTTATATAGAATGATGACTAAAATTTTATTATTTTCCTTGAGCAAACAAATAATATAAACATACGTTCATAACAAAGAAGCAAATAACTAGCACAATTTCTCTCTTTCTCTTTCTCTCTTCTCATACACACACACACACACACACGTGCGCGCGCACGCACACTGTGTGTGGAAAGCGAGAGCGAGCAATATACTTTTTAATATACAATAACATGGAATCATAATAACAGCATAAAAGCATCAAATATCATGCTCTTGCCTGTATTATATTACATTCAGTTGAATAATAGGAATAACAATAATAATATTCCATATATATATATATTCCATTGACCAGCATATAAACATTATTGGCATATAAACATATATGGAATTGAGCAGCATATAAACATTATGCTGCTCAGTTCAAAAAGGTTGGCTTACAATAATACAAATATAAAATATTGGGCTATTTACTAAAAAGTGTCAATGAAAACAGGGTGATTGTCCCAATGCAGCAAATAACACAAAATAACTTGACTAACTGTTTCAGATTAATCAGTTCCATGTGGAGTTTCCCCTATATTGTTGCTGAGGGGAGTGTGTAAAAAGTTCTACGCAGAATGAAGTTTTAAAACAATAAATAAAATGGTATTAGCTGTGGATATGTAATATCTACTTATTCACATGTAAGATTTATCAGATTTTTTTTGTTCTTTTGAAAATGTTCAGTACAAAATATTCAAGAGTTTATCTGAGTTCAGCTAGCTAACCACTTAAATGAACAAAGTAAATGCTTTCCATTCAGACAGATCTCTTAGCTTAAGTAAATAAATGCATTTTCTTTTCACTCAACGTTCCTTTAGCTTTCAAAATGTTATTAAGTAGCAAAAACTATATTTTCGATAGCAGAGCATATTGTTTGAACAACCTGTCTCCTTATCGAAAGAAATGTAACATGTGGTATTAGATGGGAGTAGAGAGGCAGTTCCTCAAGAAATATAAACCCCTTTATATAAAATGGAATGGAATGTGTTTCTGTAGTCCTGGTTTCTTTCTATCTTATAGTACTTCTTATAGAAGGACATTTTAAAGGAAATATTTAAACCATAATATATTATCTATTGAAATCATAACAGGCAGTTAGTTCAGAGTTGTGCATATTTAATTTGAAAAGCAAAGTCATGAAAAGGGGAATAATTGCTCACCTTAACTGCTCACCCTATTCTATACCCTATAGAATTTTATCCATTTCCTGTTTACAGGTTCACCAGCAACCAGAATCTTTATGGTCCTGAAAGCTGAACAGATGCTTATTTGCTTATCCTTCCTTACCTTACCTTACCTTACCTTACCTTACTTTTACCTCGCTTACCTTTCTTCCTAGCCAGTTCAAGGGAGGTGGAACATAGCAAGCTGCATTGATCCCGAGACTGGGAGGAGTGTAACAGACTGGCAGGCTCAAGTAAATAATGAGGCAGTGAGGATATGAAAACACAGAAACTATAGCTACCTGCTACATCATCTTGCCCCAAAGAGGCAGCCAATGGGATTTTCAGATGTGCAATTCTATATTAGCCAGACAGTGATCCAGTTTGATGGGGGTTTTCAACAGACAGATGGAGTCTATTTGTACTGTAGTGTTAGCAAATAGTTGATTGGATCAACACATTCTCCTAGGCAAGATTTTATTTTAAGTTGATTTTTTAAAAATCCAATATGTTCAATTTTTAATTTTTAGTTCAGATTCTATGTGTATTCCATTTTGAATATATAGATTTAGCATCACATTTTGCAGGAATCTATATGCAGTTTAGGGCTTTATGTAGGATTACAATTGACTCTCCAATTCCATAAACCAATCCTGCCATTAGATTGTCTAGTATCATTTATGGAATAAGATCCTACATGCATATACAGGAAGTCCTTGCTTACCAACGATTAATTCAGCAGCCATTTCAAATTACAACAAGAAAGAGACTTACAACTGGTCCTCCAATATGGCATTGGCATACATTTAGATAGTTGCAGCATCTCACGATCCCGTGATCACAATTTGCAACATTTACAGCCAACTCCTCACAAACAGAGTCATTGGGAAAGACAGCAAGAAGTTGCAAGCCATGGTTACATGATGTCAAATTTAACGACCCATGGTGATTTTCTTAATGATTTCAGATGGAACTCCCAAACTGCCATCCTATGATGGTCATGGTTATGTGATGTTTCATTTTACAACTACATCACTTAATGACAGAGTAGACATTCCAATTGTGGTCAGTAATATATGTGAATCATTTTATGTGGATATTTTTGCTTCTAGGATTTGATTGCTTCCTAGATTTTAATAGCAAAAATGTATACTTTAAAGGAAAGTGTGATTACCCAGAGTGGGATACAAAATAAACACAGTCACAAAAACCAGGTAAATCCCCTTTTATTCCTTCATTTTGCTTCCAAGCTCCAAATATCCTTGACCGGAGACAAAAAACTCCTACACGAGCAGTTATAAGAAGGAGGAAATGACGTTTAAATTATAAAAAGTAAAAAACAACACAAACCAGGCAAGATAAGGGCTGGAGGATGTCCACAGATAACAGAACACACACTGGGAAGGACGCCAAACTCAGAGAGGAACCATAAACTAGAGATATTTCCACACTTTGTTTCCAGCACTCACCCATATGCATGTCCGTCCTCTTATTCAGTTGTCACAGCTGCAGCCCATGAAGAGGATCAAGGCCCTCTCCTCCCCAGTAGACCACGTCTCTCCCTTATCCTCTCCTCCCTGTGTTCCCTTTGATGGATAGGGGATGGGCCTGGGTCCTCCTCTGGCTGCCCAGTTGGCCTCTGCCCTTCCCCATCCTCCTCCACAACCTCTGGAGCCACATTTCCACTCCTGTCAGCTGTTCCTCCTCTCTCTCAGAGTCAATCTCCACCAGGGGCATGACAAAAAGTTTATTAATTATAGAAATTGAAGAATTATGTAAACTACAAAATAGCCTGGACTTTATTCTCATATAAAATAAAAAAAACTGAGTAACTGAGTCAAGATTGAAAGGATAGAAAAACTTTTCTGTGATATAAACTAAGTTGTTGAGTACTTTGTTATGACATATGACAAATAGTTTATCTTATTCTTTGTTCTGCACCTTAATCTGAAGTTCTGTGTTTTTCATCAAAATTATTCATGTTGCATTAGCAAAATCTTCACATCTTCATGTTTGCAAGTGCTTTACTATCTTGTGGCTCACAACTCTGTTATTCTGTTCTGTACTTATCAACTATTCATAATAGGTATATTGGATGCTTCATATTTGAGTTGTCTTAATATTATAGAGTCTCTATGTTGCTTTGATGTCTCAGAGAGTAAGTTTACACATTTTGTGGGCATCCTAAATAAATACATAAATACGTAGTAAGCTGCATGTCTTTCTGCTTATCATATTATTATGCCATGCAGAAGTGAACCTCTTACACTAAGCTTTAACTAATTTTTCCTACTTGCAAAACAAATTGATATTATGATTAGCAGACATTACTGTAAAAGTAAGTTTGAAGAGATTCCAGTACGATCTATAGAAATTTATCATTTTCTAGGCAATATATGAGACTATCTTGCTATATTGACAAAAGCTAATGTGTATTTGGTGTTCCTTAGTTAATATAATACATGTTTTTATAAAGAGGACTTCTAAAACATTCAGCCCATGAATTGATTTTGATACATATGGATAATTAAAGCATTACATAAAAGTTGTTAGTCTTAGATTAATTTTCAAAAGGCACATTAAAAGGAAACTGATCTTTGGAATATTTCAGGTACAAATTCGACCTTGGAATTTAAGCGACAGTGACTTTGTAATGGATGGTTCTCAACCTTTAGACCCCAGAAAAACTATTTTTGTGGGAGGAGTTCCACGACCCCTTCGAGCTGGTGAGTAAAAATATTAAAAGCCAGCTGACTGTGAAAAACTTCTTAAAGCTTGATACCTAGTTTTATTTAGAGTCTACTTCTCTTCTTTTTGTATATTTGCTATTTTAAATTGCAATTGAATGGAGCCAACTGGGTAATCTCATAAGTGTTTTTTGCTTGATACTATTCTTTCTCTCTCCTATATTTCAAAATTTATCCAGGATGACTGGGAGATCTTCTCAAACCAGCTATTACCAGGGTTTGAAGCTCAGGAGGAAAAACATTGCAATCCTATCTATTTATCCTTATAGAAAGGATTATGGTTTTCTTCACCAAAGGAGTCCTTCCAGTTACCATAGGCAGCTATGTTAAATTCAAGAGGGAGTATTTAAAAAAAAAACCCTGAAAGCACTGTCAATATCCAGTGAAGAAGAATTACTACAGTCCTCATATAATTAATATTAAGTCTTTCTCTGGAAATACCAGATTATTTTAAATAAAAATCCTAATAATTCTTGCTACATATTTCAGTATTCAATTCAAATTTACAAAGTGCAGTTCTTTAGTATGTCTCAAGTCCCCATTTTTTTGGACTGAATATTTTAAATAGGAAGCATTCCAGAATCTTTCATAATGTGACATATTTTTTGACATTGCCTTTAATATTTTTCTCTACTTCAAAAATTGTCCTTTTGAACTCTATAAGCATAAACCAACTTCTTCATCTTTAAGGACTGATAGAATTTATACATACTGTTGTTAAAATAGCCCACGGGTGTTAAACTCACCATGTCACATTGCCATCATGTGTTTCATGATGTTTTTCCCATTAGGGAAAATTCCCTAGGGTGGGCCTGGTCTGTGCATGATGCATCTGGCCCACAGGCCGCCAGTTTGACATCCCTGAAATAGCCTAATCCTCCATTTTCCTTTGTCTTTAGCAACTTAACAGGGAAGAGCATAATGCAAAGGTTGATGCTACTTTCAGATTTTATTAGAAAAATGTAAGATAGGATTCTGAATGTTCTGTACATACAATAATAGTCTTTCATTTAAAATGATGGCAAGTTTTGACTGATAGTTTGAATTCTTCAATCTTTGTCCATTTTTTAAAATGTATCTTTTAATATAATGGAAGAGGCATCAGTTGAAAACTGATAAAATAAATCAATGTTTCCCAGATTGGTTTCTCTTTTTTAATACAAATTTTGTTTTTAAAAATTACCGTAAGATTAGTTTTTGTTAGTTAAGGAAATATATAGTATTTGGAAAAGATTTAAATAATTAAGAAGTAGAATTATTTTTAAGAAGACAGTTTTCACTAAAATAGTTTTTGTTGAGTGTTATAATCCAGTTGATCTTTAATTTTATGTATTAACAAATTTAAATTTAATGATTGTAACATGAAACTTGGAGGGAAATTAAAATTCCAATGAGAGCAAGTTTGGTATAGTGGTTAAGTCTCAGGATAGACACTGGGAGACTGATTTCTTGTCCCACCTTGGACACAAAGTCAGCTGGGTGACCTTGAGCCAGTCACTTTCTGTCAACCATAGGAAGGAAGCAATGGCAAACCACTTCTGAAAAATCTTGCCAAGAAACCTTGCAGGGACTTCTTCAGATAATCTCTAAGAAACTGTTACAATTGAATGGAAGGAGGAAAAAATCTGATATATTGCTTATGGCAACTTTATCCCTTATCTGATGCTATAATTTGGAATCGTGCTTGTAAACAATGCCTCAGATTTTTTAAATTTTATTATTAAAATTTATTAAATTATTTTAATTTTTCTTCTTTGACCAAAAACCTATACATTGCTTCCTCATGAGGCTGTTACTGTTATCAATAACTGTTGTGACCAGTGTTATTGTTTGTATAAAAGGGCTTTCAGTGACATATTACAGATTGGAGCAGAGAATGTGTAAACTGATTTTGTTCCTCTCTGTATAAATTATATATTGTGAATCTGTATATTTGAGCCTTGCAATCACATTTAATTTAAAATATAATTTCTGTACTACATTTATAAATTTAACTCCAAATATGTATTTTTCTCATGTTTTAAGCAACAATGACTATGCCTACCATACATATTACAGACTTCGTAAGCATCTAGAATAAAAAGGCCAGGTTTTTTTTATTCCATGTAGAATATTAAGAATATACCTAATTGGATTTCCAATCTATTAGCTCTTGATAAATCCAAATTAATCCAGATTAATATAGTTACCAATCATTGAGGATAATCTATTGACCAATATTGACATGCATATTTTATCATCTTGGTTCACTAAAGGGATAGGTGTATATCAGGAAATGCCTGTATGATACCTCCTGTCTTTGGGAATGATTGCAGATATTTCTTAAACACTACTCATTCAGTGATCATTCAAAGTTTACAAGCACATTAAACAAAGAGACTATTTGTCTTCAAAGTTGTAGCCATTGCAACCTCTCTGTGGTCATACGATTGCAATTTGGGCACTAGACAAATGGTGTTCATTTACAATGGTGATAGTGTCCCATTGTCACATGATTACTTGTGACCTTTATTAGGAAAGCTAACAGGAAGTCACAGGTCACCGTTCAGTAATATTGTGGTTAACGGGCTATGGTTATTCACTTAATAACTGCAGCTGGAACTGGTGAACTGACATTGTAAGTCTGGCATGGCCGCATGACTTTTACATTATGACCAATGGAATTGCCAGTCACAACTATGGTCAGTAATTGAGAATTACTTCTACTGTTGTTCTAAAAAAGGTCAAACTGAGACTTTTTTCAAATAATTAGTTACATCTATTTATTTAGGCTATGTGCTGTATACAACCATCTACTACTATCAAATATTGTCAGAAACACTGAAATGTTATTCCTTTTACTATAATCCAGTAATAAAAACAACATGCTTCAAAAGAGAAACTTTCCTTGTGCATTGGCTAATACTTCAGCTTTTGTCTCAATATTTGTAACATGTTTAATTAGCTATTAATTAAACTATTTTATTTGTAAAATAGTTGTAAAAGTTGTTTTATTGTAGTTTGCTATTTTATTTGTAACTGTTTCTTTTAAATTTTGTCGATTTTCCATTGTCTAAATAATTTTAATAATGTTTATATTTAGTCCTTTTATATTGCTTTCTCAGATGTACTTTTAATTCTATCTTCTACTTTAAATTGGTCTTTTTAACCCTAGCTGATTGCTATGAGAGATTGATTGATAGATTACTTTATTCTAGTTCCATTTGATTACTTAAAATCAGCTCAAGATTTTTTAAACATGGGATACTAAATTTAATGTACCTATTCTATTTTTATTAATAGGGCTATGTATCTCATAGTATTGTTTTTTAGTTCAAGCCATTTAGGAAGAAACTTTGGAAGTGGTGGTAATAATCTCTTTGGATATTTGGTATCCAAATTATATTTTATATTTAGATTAATTATCTCAATTAAACATACAATCCAAAACTGTATTTAAATACTAGTTATTATTACTTCTAATTGTTGAAATTGCAGTATAACTGGGTTTTTTTTGTTATAATAGTATGCTGATAATAACATTCTTTTCTTATGGTTAATCAAATTTTGATGTATAAATTGTCTCTTGTGTGATAAGCCAGAGGTGTTCTGTATTAGATTTCTTGGGGGTTTACTCCATGTTCAATTTGAGGAAGATCTTTCTAACTCTTTTTGCCCCCTCTTACTGCTCTCAACATTTTGTAGTTCATGGAAGACAATTGAGGGATCGGGTTCCTAAGAAATAAGTAAAAACAGTAACTGTATAGAAGTGCCAGAGATTCTGAAGATTAAATTTATGGCCATTTCACCATATTCATGTTCTCTTATAGTTGAACTAGCTATGATTATGGATCGTTTGTATGGAGGCGTCTGCTATGCTGGCATTGATACAGACCCAGAGTTAAAGTACCCCAAAGGTGCTGGTAGAGTGGCTTTCTCCAATCAGCAGAGCTATATTGCTGCTATTAGTGCACGCTTTGTCCAGCTCCAGCACAATGACATCGATAAACGGGTAAGTGAAGCATCTTTGGTTGGCTTAACTCTGCAGACATGTTGCATAGATGCCTGGTGAAGTTGGACCATTCATTGATCTATAATCCAGGATTATCCAATGTGACTAATAGTTGCTTTACAGAGGCTATAATATAAATTAGTACATTTTTCAAAAAATCTTTTTTTTTTAAATTTTATTGGTTTTTAAAAACAAACATAAACAAACAAAACATAAAAACATCAAGCTATCTTCCATAGGTGTATATACAGTGTGCCGGTTGGTTTACAAATTGTTTTGTGCTTCCATTTCGTAGTCTTCAATTACAATTACATTGCATATGATCTCATATTGTCAATCAAAAATTAAATACCTTAGTATCATTATTAATCAATCATTTGACTATACTTTTATTCATGTTTTACAAGATAATCATAGTCTACTTATTTACCTTTATAACAGTTCATATTATCATCCCAAATCTATCCTAAAATCATTTTGTAGATATAATAAGAAAAAAGTACATCTTTATATATTTATTATTTTCTAAAAGTCTGTGTATTTCATTACTGTATTTATTGTCTAACCATTGATAGAAAAGATCCCAAATTTTATAAAATTGTTTATCCTCTTGTTCTCTAATTTCAAATGTCAATCTACTCATTTCAGCACATTCCAATATTTTCTTAATGATTTCCTCCTGTGAAGGTATTTTCTCATTTTTCCAGTTTTTAGCAAATACAATCCTAGCCGCTGTTAATACATTTACAATCAGGTATTTCAAGTCTTTACTATATATTTCAGGTAAAATTCCCAATAAAAATATCTCTGGTTTCAAGTCTATATGGTTTTTTATCATTTTTTCCAACCACATGTGGATTTTAGTCCAGTATTTTTTAGCATCCGCACAAGTCCACCACATATGGTAATATGAGCTGGGTGTCTGATGACATTTCCAACATTTTTCAGATTTATTCTTGAACATTCTTGCTATTCTTGTTGGGGGAAAATGCCACCTGTAAAACCTTTTATACAAATTTTCTTTATATGCTGTTGACATTGTCATTTTATAATTTTGAAACCACAGTTTTTGCCATTTCTTTAAATCAATCCCATATCCAAAATTCTTCCCCCAAGCAATCATTGTTTCTTTAACTTGTTCTTCTTCTAGTTTAAATTCTAATAAATATCCATACAATTTTTTAATCACCTTTTCATCAGTACCTGTCAAAATCTTATCTAAGTCGTCAGTTTATCCTAGAAACCTTCTGTTTTAGAATCTTTATCATACCTTGAATGTATTTGCGCATATGAAAACCAATTCATCTTTATATCTTGTTCCTCTAGTTTTTGTATAGATTTAAGTTCACCCTTTTCATTCAATATTTCACCATATCTAACTATTTGTTCCTTTTTGTATATTATAGGATAAGAAAATACTTCAATAGTCGATAATCAGACTGGAATTTTCAAATAACATTGTCTTTTAATCTTCTCCCAGTTTAACCACAGAGACTCCCGTATATAATGTCTTCTAAAATACCCCTGTGTTTTAGTTCCTTTTTACCATAAAAAAGCATGCCACCCCAACAACAAATCATGTCCTTCTAATGTCAACAATCTAGTATTTCTTAGTGTTATCCATTCCTTAACCCACATCAAATTTGTAGCTTGATAGTACAACTCCCAATTAGGCAAACCAAATCCTCCTCTAATTCTAGCATCTTGCAAAAGTTTTAACTTTATTCTCGCTTTCTTGCCTTGCCATATATATTTCGACACAGTTTTATTTAGATCTTCAAAGTAGTCTTTTCCAAGGCGAATTGGAATTGTTTGAAACAAATATAAAATTCTGGGTAGTATATTCATCTTGATTGTTGAAATTCTCCCTATTAGTGACAGTTGTAAATTTTCCCATTTCGCCAAATCTAGCGCTATCTGCTGTTTAAGTTTGATATAATTATTCTCTTTTATTGTACTACATCTTGCTGTCAAATATATCCCCAAGTACTTAATCTTATTTGTGACCTGAATTTTCAATAGGTCTGCCAGTTCTTCCTTTTGTCTTAATAGCATATTCTTTGTCAAGACCTTTGTCTTACCTTTATTTATTTTCAAACCAGCCACCTTTCCATATGTCTCTATCTTTTCTATCAATTTTGATGCTGTTTCTAAAGGGTCTTCTAAGATGAAAACCAGATCATCTGCAAATGCCTGCAACTTAAATTCTTCCTTTTTGATTTTCATTCCTTTTATATTCTTTTCATCTCTAATATTTCTGTTTAGCACTTCCAAAGTTAACACAAACAACAAAGGTGATAGTGGGCACCCTTGTCTTGTTCCTTTTCTTATATTGATAGAGTGTCAGTTCTCCCTCTATCATTACCTTTGCCGTTTGCTTATAGTATATAGCTTCTATTGCTTGAATAAATTTTCTAGCAAAACCCATCTGTTCCAACAATAATAATATGAATCGCCAATTCACATTATCAAATGCCTTCTGTGCATCTAGAAATATCAGCCATTTGTTTTTCAGGATGTGCCTCGTAATATTCCAAGGTGTCCAAGATTACTCTCATATTGTCTTAATTTGTCTCTTTGGCAGAAATCCATTTTGATCGGGATGGATAAAATTATTTAAATATTTTTTAAATCTTTCTGCCAATATTGAAGCAAAGATTTTATAATCTGCATTTAATAGAGAAATGGGTCTATAGTTCTTAATTTGTAATGGGTCAGCCTCCTCTTTTGGAGTAAGTGTAATATAGGCTTCTGACCATGATTTAGGTATCTTCTTCTTTAACATAACTTCATTCATGACTTTTAGCAATGGAAGATTCAACGATTCTTGTAATATTTTATAAAATTCTGCTGGAAGTCCATCTGGGCCTGGTGCCTTTCCATAATTTTGCTTCTTGAGTGCTTCAGTTAACTCCATCATCGTTATATTGCTTTCTAACATTTTTTCAGTCTCTTTAGGTATCTGAGGTAAATTAGCATTCTGTAAGTACTGTTTAACTCTTTCCTCATCAATATTCTCTTGCATATATAATTTCGCATAGAAGTCTCGAATGATTTCCTTCTTCTCTTTGCTACCATGGCAAACTTGGCCTTGGTCATCTATTAATTTCAATATTTTCCTTGATTCTTTCTCCTTTCTCAATTTGTATGCTAACTATCTACCTGGTTTGTTTGCGTCTTCAAAGTAGTTCTCTTTAGCACCTCTAATTTTCTGTGCTAATTCTTCTTTTTCTATTTGACCCATTTTGTGTTTAATTATATCCATTTTTAGCTTGATGTCCTTTTTCTGTGGGATTTTCTGTAGCTCTTTTTCAAGTCTCTTATGCTCATCCTCTAGGGCCTTAGAGGCTAGCCTTTTCATAGTATTCCTTTTCCTTGTATAGTCTATTATCAAGCCTCTAACATATGCCTTCATTGTATCCCATACATTCTGAATTGATGTATCTTCTTTTTTGTTTTCTCTAAAGAAAAAAGCCAATTCTTTCTCCATCCGCTGTGTGAAGTCTTTTTCCTTTAAAATAGTATTATTTAACATCCATCTAGATCTTCTTTTTTGTCCTTTCCATTTAATTGTCATTGGATTGTGATCTACCTAGGTACTTGTTTCAATATTTATTTCTTGAATATTAGTTATTAAATCTGCTGACATCCATATCATATCTATTCTGGACCATGATAGGTGTCTATTTGAATAGAAGGTATATTGTTTAGTTTTAGCATTTCTTTCTCTCCATGTATCTTTTAAGTTTATTTCATCTACCATTTTAAAAAAAGATTTAGGGAGAGTCTTTCTGTTTTGCTTTTTTTGTTTTCTGTGCTGTATAGTCCAATTTATTGTCTACAATTCCATTAAAATCTCCCATCATAACTATATAGCATAGTCCAGTTCAATTATTTTCATATGTAATTTTTTGTAGAATTCTTCTTGTTTGTCATTCGGAGCATAAATTGCAATCAGGAGTGTTTTCATATTATTGTCCATTATTTCCACTATTAATATTCTTCCACCATTATCTGTATAGATCAATTTATCTGGGGTGGTCTCTTTAATATATAAAACCACTCCTCTTTTCTTACACTGTGTCAAGGAAGTAAATATTTTCCCTAATTTTGGCTGTACCAACAATTGTTCATATTGTTTTTTAATATGTACTTCTTGTAGACAAATTATATCAAATTTTAATTTCTCTAATTTATGAAAGGTTTTCCTTCTTTTGACGGCTGAGTTAAGTCCATTTATATTAATTGTAATCAATTTTTTCTCTTCCATGGTTATATTTTATAGTTAGGTTTAGAAGCTCTCGTAGATCTTAGTTCACGTTTTTCTTTGGCTTCCACCTTTCCACCTACTGCACCTTCTTTTTTTTCAGTCGCCATTTGGCAGTCCTCTTGGAATTCAATTAGTGAGATCTCTTTTTCTTCCTCTTTCCCTCCAAAAAATTCTGTATAAAATAATTCCACTTTCTCAATTGAGTCAATTCTATGTCTCTGTTCTTGCCATGTGAACATTAAACCTTCTGGAATCAGCCATCTATAATTCACCTCTTTTTTAAGTAGCATTTTAGTCAGGAATCGGTATTCTCTTCTCATCTCTCTCACTCTTCTGGGTATTTGTTTCAAGACCACAATCTCCTTGTCTTTGTATTTCAATGTTTTCTCTTTTGCCACTTGCAATATTTGCGTTTTAATGGCTTTCTTTGTAAATCTAATGTGAGCTTCTCTTGGTAGGCTATTTCTCATTGCATATCTTGTGAAAATTCGATAAACCTCATCTATTCCATCCATCATCTTCTCTTGAGTTATTTCCAAAGCTTCAGCCAGTATTTCTATCATTATCTCAGCTAAGTTTTGTCCTTTTTCTTCCTCTACATTTTGAAATCTAAGATAGAATTCTGATCTATCCATCTCCCATCTCAACATACCACTTTTATCTTGTTCAACCACCATTAATCTATTATCAATATCTCCAATCTTCTTGTCTCCTTGTTTATCTTCTTCTTCAATTTTTTGGAATCTCTCATCATACTTCAACATCATTTGTTGGATGTTCTCCACTTTTTCATCGGTTTTCCCTGTTCTTTGTTCAATGTTCTCTGTTCTCTGTTCAATATTCTCTGATCTTGCTTGAATATTTTGAATTCCTTGCATAATCATCTGCAGAGTCACTTTTTCTTGTTCTTTTTCTTGCTTTAACATTGTCTGTATTGAACGTTGTCCTCCAGATGGTGAAGAGGAAGAAGTAGAAGTTGAAGAATCAGGAGCTGTAAATTTCCTACTTATTTTAAGCAATTCAAAATCTTCAGGTTCTTCTAAACCTTAATCCAATTGTGAAGTAACCAATTATAGTTCAAAATAAAAATAGTAGAAAAAAGAAGCCCAATAATAATAATAAAAAGAAAGAAAAAAGAAGGGAGGACAAAATTTCTTCAGGTTCTTGTATACCTTAATCCAATCAATAGTTAGATGAAGAAAAAGGCTTAAGAAAAAAAAGGAAAAGGAAAAATTCTTCAGGTTCTTCAACACCTTAATCCAATTGAAAGGTCTCAAATAGAAAAAAGTACATAAGAATAGACCAGAAAGGTAGATGAAAAAACAAAAATACCAGGAAAGGGCGGGGGAGAAGGCTTTTAAGGCTTTCCCTTTAAAATAAAAAACAAACGTAGAGGTTGGACTTCCAAAGAAAAAAAGAAAAACAAAGACAAGCTCCAACAAAGCCAAAAACCCATATAGTTATTACAAAAAAGAAAGAAAGAAATACAATAAAGCTGGTGAAGAGGGATAGCAAAACTTAGAAAAAGTAAAAAGTGCACACTGCACTTTTCCAAGGCTCTTATTATAGCTCTCTTCTCCAAAAACTTATCACCTTTTTTCCCCCTAGTTTCAACACCAGACTCCAGCTGTTGATAGAAACCCAGAAGAGCATCTGAAATAATACTCTCCCATGCTATTCCCTCTATCTTATCAAATAGCAATGTCCTTGAAAAAGAGTCTCAGGTCTTTCTTTCTCAGCTTTGTCTGGTCACAGGGAAATAGAATATTTTCAAGCCTCTAGTTGGCAGTGTTACAAAGTTTCTTTGCTCTCACTTTCCCCCTCCTTTTCCGAGCAGGATATAATAAGAATAAAAAAAGAAAAAGATATTTTTTAAAAATGAAATAACTAAAGGGAGCCTCTAGCCTAAAATATCACAAAATCAAAAAGGAGAAGAAAAAAATAGATATAAATGAAAAAAACAGTCCAGTTTCAAAATACAAGGTCATATATAGAAAATCCAGCAATGAGAAAACAAAACAAAACATTACTTTGACATTCCTGTTTAAAATCGCCGCTTAATCACTTCTATCAAAACTTTTACAGATTCTTTATTTTCCTTAGGGTGTCCTTTCAGATCTTAGAATAAAAAAAAAGTTCTCACCAAACCGGCACACTCTCTCTTTCTGTTCTCTTCCATTTCGGAGCTGTCCCAACTTCAGCAGCTTTAATGGCTGCCTCTTTGCCGCTGGCAAGAAGAGCTTCTCCCAGATCTACCAGGGACTTTGCGGTATCCCTGGGATCGACAGGATGCGCTCTTCACTTTCACCGTCTCTTCGGGACGGTTTAGATCCGATAGGACCGTCCAGGAGCAAAGATATCGGCAGCGATCTCAGACCTCCAAGATCGCATGCCGTATCATCGCGACGTCAGCTCCACCCTCTCACATTTTTCAAAAATTCTTTAGAACAGGCAGGAGTAAATGTTTGATCATAATATCTAATATGTTTACAAGAAAAATAAAGCAGTATGAGAAAGGTAGAACTTATAATAGAGTATTAAGGCTAATTATATTTTAACATGGAACATACTCAAATATGCCTAATAGTTTTACAGATACTTCTCCCTTTCTGTCTATTTGTTCAGCATCCCTTTGAACTTATAAAATATAAATAAATAAATAAATAAAAACTAGTCTTACAACTGGTCCTCAAATTAGTGGCCATCACAGCACTTGGCTACTGTCATGCATTTATGATGGTCACAGTGTGCCACAGCCCTGTGATTGCCTGTTGTGACCCTCACAACCAGCTTCCAATAAGCAAAATCAATGGAAAAGCTGGAAGAAGTCACAAGTTATGGTCATATGACATTGTTCTTATTGACCATGGTGATTCGATTAAAGACCATAGCTGGAACTGATGTCATAAGTCAGCACAGTCCATGACATCACACAATAACTGCACCACTTAGCAAATGAGTTGCCAATCCCAATTGTCATTAAATGAGGAATATCTGTATAGGCCTTTCCGTTCTAAATCTTAATGACTTTAAACTTGAAAAAAAAGAGATGCTAAACATTCCTTGTAATAGGGAAAGAAATGACAGTAATATTTTAACAATGATTAAATTAAAGGCAGAATTTATTTGGCAATATACATAACAAAGACTAGGCTTTCCTACAAATACTGTGAAATATGGAAATTTAGCTGTGATTCTGAGCTCGAAATGCTGGAATCAATAGCTAGAATTTTGATACCAAGAGAATTGCTGCAGGATTGATAGCAAGGCAAGGAACTCTTGCCCATTTTTCATTCTTCTTGTTCCCTGATCTGAAAGAGATAATTGCAATAATATATGACCCCAATACCTCTCCTCTTTTCCACATGTTTGTTATTTATATTTTTATATCTTCTAAATGAAAAGCTTCCCTATTTCACTCAATGAGTTGTATTCAAGTGTAGCCATCAGCTGACAGAACTGTATATTCCCACCACCACCACCATCTCCACCAGCTTATGTCTACAGGGTCTGTGCCATAACAGACTTATAATTTACAAAATAGTGAAGTCAGTTATTTTTTTCTGATATAACTTTTTAAATTTGCAAAAGCATGATATGACATGATATACCAATTAAAATTACCACTCCTATAATCAGAGTGAGGAGGCAGAGAATGTTGCGGGTCCCATCCTTTAGAGAGATGCACGTGGTGGGACCTAGAAGAAGGACCTTCTCCATTGTGGCCCCTCTCTCTGGAATATCATCCCCCCAGAGATTAGAATGGCCCCCGGCCTGGGGAACCCAGAGCAGGATTAAATGGGTCATGTGAGGTGCTGTTGCCGGAGCAGGGGGTGGGAGGTGATTTTATTATATTTATTATATGACTCTTATTAGTTTTATTGTTTTTATATGAGATTTTACATTCTGTAAGCTACGTTGAGTCACCGTGTGCTAATAGGCGGCAATATAAATTCCCTAAATAAATTATATATATATAATTATATATATACATATACATATACATATATGTATATATGGCATTCAGCTTTGTTCAGGTATTTTCCCACGTCACTGTAGTTGTGCTTTTAAAGTTGTAGCAACATTTCGGCAGAATCTCATCTGCCATCATCAGGCTTCTGTATAGTGTCCATCTGTGAGTCAGACTTTTACAGTGGTTTCAGATTTAAATTTGGGGCAGCCTATTGCTGTGCCAGAATGGTTTTTTCTTCACCCTGACTGGTTGGGAGTCTTGGTCTGTGTTGTGTTACTTTATTGGTGTTACTTTATTAATGTTGCCAGCCAATCAAGATACAAAAAGAGCCATAAAACAGACAGAAGATATTAGAAACACCAATCAAGCAGAACACAGCAAACTCCAAGACCAATAAACACAGACCAAGACTCCCAACCAATAAGGGTGAAGAAAAAACCATTCTGGCACAGCAATAGGCTGCCCCAAATTTAAATCTGAAACCACTGTAAAAGTCTGACTCACAGATGAACACTATACAGAAGCCTGATGATGGCAGATGAGATTCTGCCGAAACGTTGCTACAACTTTAAAAGCACAACTACAATGACGTGGGAAAATACCTGAACAAAGCTGAATGCCATACATGTAAGTACCCGCGAAAACTTAAGAAAATATATATAAAATTTATTTAGGGAATTTATATTGCCGCCTATTAGCACACGGTGACTCAATGTAGCTTACAGAATGTAAGTATATATTTTTATATTTTCTGAGGTTCTCGCGGATATTTGTATATGGATCTTTGGTTATTCGGGTTTTCTACCGTGTAAGATTGGGAGTATCTAGGCAGATACTAGATACTCCCGTTCTTATGCGGGAGAAAACCCAAATAACCAAAGATCCATATATATATATATATATATATGTGTGTGTGTGTGTGTGTGTGTGTGTGTGTGTGTGTGATATGTCTCAAAGCTGAAAAACCCTGTCTCTTTGTTTTAAAGCTAGGGCATTCTAGCTCTTGTCTATGTGAGAGGTTGCACTAGAGCTCTTGGGGGTTCTGCTCAATCCCAATGTGCAAGGCTCATTCCCAGATGCTCTTTATTTACCGATACTGACTCTGTACCTGTCTCCTTTTACAGGTGGAAGTAAAGCCATACGTGCTTGATGATCAGATGTGTGATGAATGCCAGGGTACTCGCTGTGGCGGAAAATTTGCCCCGTTCTTTTGTGCCAATGTTACCTGCTTGCAGTATTACTGTGAATACTGTTGGGCAAGTATTCATTCTCGGGCTGGACGAGAGTTCCACAAGCCGCTTGTGAAGGAAGGAGGTGACCGGCCACGCCATGTGCCCTTCCGTTGGAGCTGAGGTCCGGGCTGAAGGCCAGCAGTACTGGAGCCAACTGGATTGAAGGGGAAAGGAGTGATGCCTCAGGGCTTTTGTGTTCTGGAAATCTGTGCATTCATCCTTGACTTTAATGAAGAGATGGGTCCTTTTATTATGATGATGGTTATGATTATAATGATGATTATGATTATTTACAGTCACATTACTGAACACTATGTCCAGTATAATACAAGCCTAGCAGAGTGTAACTGTACTGATTTTGCACTTTGATTCACACAAACATCTGCTTGGTACCTTAATTTCTCACCTGAGACTTATCACGGCTAACAATAAGTAGACTGCTATGGTCATCAGCCTCCACTAGGTTGGTGTATATGTGATTAAGGTTTTTTTTTAATTATGTACTTTTATTTTAAAACTGGAGCATGCACTTATTTTCAGAAACTTTGATTTGCCCCTAGCACATGATTTACCAAAGGTAACACTCACAAGTAGGTGACAGATGTAGCAAAAATTTACAATGGATATTCAGCAATCATTCAGAGTAGGAAAACCCTAAACAATCTTTAGTTGCTCTCTATTTTTACTGAAAAGGATGATACCTCATAAGCCGGATCACATTTTCTCCACCCCCAACCCCCCCCCCCCATCCCTTTTCTGTTTTGCTGAGGGTTTCCTATTTGTTTAGGCCTTTTAGTGTTATGTAAATGTATGCTGCAATAGCTTTTGCTGCTATTAAGATGGTATTACTAATACCACATTACTCTATTCAAGCTAGGGTATCATTTAAAAAGATAATTATGTGATTTAAAACAGTGATGGCTGCTGAAAGAAGATCAGTAGAGCATTCAGAAAGCTTCCAAGGAAGGTCAATAGTTTTGACTGCATGTTTAATCAGGTTGACGCATGCAATAATTTTTTTTATAGATGTCTAATACAAAAATCTGCCCACAGTGCACCAATTAAGATTCTATGTAGGCTGCAAAGTACTCAATAAAATAATTTAAAACACACACACGCATATACGCACAGGTTACTGACTGGAGGAAGGCATGTCAAAGTCTATGTAGATGCTTCTGAAGTTAAAATCAGCCCATAGCCGTATCACCTATATCATGACAAGATTTTTTAAAAAAGAATAGATGTAGAAATATCCTTAAGCAGATTTGTGAATGATAGACGAAGTACTTTGCGGTGCTCTGTTCTATATTGTG